GAAGGAGACTGGGCCAGGGAGAAGCTCAGAAGGAGAGGAGGATGGAAAAGGAAGGGAGCAAAGCTCAAGGGCTCTGCCAGAGATGAAACAGAAAAAGAAATTGCTGTGCAGCATTTTCAGCCCCGAACAGAGGGAGCTGCATGGGCTCCTCGAGCTGCCTGAGTGCATTTTGAACAACAAAAACAGTAGGCTCTGACAGGGCCAGGAGACCCAGGAGGGCATGGAGGGGGGAACGGAGAGGGGGGCTGCAGGCCCAGGGGAGGCAGGGTCCCACAGGCAGGGCACGCTCCTACCCAGCCACATCCAGGGTGGCAGTGCCCTTGCTGCTGGTGCACCACCCCTCTAGCAGGCTGATGGGGGGTTATGTAACCCTTCTCAACTGCTCTTTCCTCCAGACCAAGTGAGGCTGCTGCTCCAGCTCCCTGTGAGGGAATAGCCCGAGCAGCCTTTTCCCCAGCTGCCCAGAGGGACACAGCCAGCCCCAGCCTCTGAGACAGCTGAGCAGCAGGTCCTGCCCCACTGCCACCCCAGGGCAGCTGTGCTGGCAGACCTGGCACCCAGGACATGGCACCAAGCCCCAGTGGGAGGCTGCAGGCCCTTGGCCAGGGAAGGAGATGGTTGGATCATGGGTTCTTCTTGCAGGGAGCAACTGGTGGATGTAGCCTGGAGCACCCACTCACACGTGGGAGCAGACACAGGATAACACACTGCACCAGTGCTTTATGCACCTAACTCAAAATAAGTTTTCTTTTTAAAAAACATATCTAAGAAGAATGATTTTTTTTTTTGTTATTATTTTGAAGTTATAAATTACTGAAAGACTTCTCACTACTCTCCCAAATCATTCTCAGGCAAAGAAAAGGCAGTTCTACCTTCAGCAGTGCTTTGTAACAAAATGAGTCAGGTTCATTTCGCTCATGATTTGCCCTTGGCTCCCTTTGTCCATGTCTTAAACTACATCCTGGCTTGGTCTGATTAGCAGTGTCTCCTTGGAGGCATAGGAGGCCCTGCAAGAGCTGGAGGTATTGCAGGTCAAGATTAAAGTGCTCTGTATCCCATTCACTGTCAAAACTATAACTGGCTTAACTCAGTGCAATTAGGTGGCTCAGAGGTTATGGAGTAACGGCAGCAGTGTTTCAGTGCCGCTGACTAAAGCACAGCCCTGGCATTAAGGGATGTGATTAAAAGGTGGTATCTGGGCTGAGACCTGGCAGAGGAGCTCAGCAGGCAGGGTTAAATCCACAGCTTCTTCTGGGGCTGGACACCCCATGGCCTGGAAAAGGTCTCTTAAGTATCAGCTGAGCCAGCTCAGCTTTTAGGTCTGGAATGCCATCTTGTGATGGCAGTGGGGAAGTGGAAATGGCCCCTCTGTGGAGTCAGAGATGATGGAATTACAGAAAGGGTTGGGTCAGAAGAGACCATAAAAATAATTTTATTCCTCCCCCTGCCATGTCAGGGACACCTTACAATATCCCAGGCTGCTCCCAGCCCTGTCCAGCCTGGCCTTGGACACTGCCAGGCATCCAGGGGCAGCCACAGCTGCTCTGGGCGCCCTGTGCCAGGGCCTGCCCACCCTCCCAGGGAACAATTCCTTCCCAATATCCCATCGATCCCTTCCCTCTGGCAGTGGGAGCCATTCCCTGTGTCCTGTCCCTCCATGCCTTGTCCCCAGTCCCTCTCCAGCTCTCCTGGAGCCCCTTTAGGCCCTGGCAGGGGCTCTGAGCTCTCCCTGGAGCCTTCTCCTCTCCAGGTGAGCACCCCCAGCTCTCCCAGCCTGGCTCCATGGCAGAGGGGCTCCAGCCCTGGCAGCAGCTCCGTGGCCTCTCTGGACTTGCTCCAACAGCTCCAGGTCCTTCTGATGCTGGAGCAGCTCTGCAGGGGCATTTCATGGCAGAGTAGAGGGGGACAATCCCCCCCTCACCTGCTGCCCACTCGTCTGTGGGTGCAGCCCAGTGTAGCCATGATATTTTCTGAAAAATCCTTTTGCCAGGATTTTTCTCCTGAGGAGCCTCAGGAAAGAAATGTAAACAATTACTATCTGCTGCTGTGGAATGCAATAGGTGCATCTTCCATTGGTCCATGTGGATTGTTTTCAATTGCTGACCCATCAGAGCCACTTGTGTCAAGGCTGTGAGCAGTCACGAGATTTTGTTATGCATTCTATTCCTGTTCTTTCAAGCCTTCTGATGATCTTTTTCTCTCTGTTCTTTTAGTATAGTTTTAATGTAGTATTTTAATATAATATATATCATAAGATAATAAACCAGCCTTCTGAAAACATGGAGTCAAGCCTCACATCTCCACACATGGAGAGTTCCCAACAGCCGAGCACAGGGGAATTTCTGGGCTCCTGCTGTACATTGTTGGCTCATGTTCAGCTTTTAATCCATGATATCCTCCAAGTCCTACTCTGCTGGTCAATGAGCTCTTGTCCCAGTCTGTGCTCATCTGTGGGGTTGCCCTGACCTGGGTGCAGCACCTCAAAGAGTCCTGAATTTCCCAAGAGAGGAAAAGGCACCACCGAGGCCATGGCTGCCCCACCACCTCTGCTGTGTGGAAGCTGAGCAAGGCTGGTGTCCCTCATAGGGCAGTGCAAGCACCAACACCCACAAGGTTTCATCATCATGGTCCCCAGCCATGACAGACACCAGGGGGACAAAAGTTCTTCTCATCAGAGCCTGAACCTGCTGTGGGGCTGGAGGTGACCACCATGGTAAATGACGATGTACATCCACAAATCTTTTCTTTCATAGGTTTACTGAATTTTCTTCCTCTTCCCATGGTACTACTCTGTCTTTTTCTCTGGTGACTGATGGTGTGGCCAAATGGTGTTGAGCCAAAATCTGATTGGTACAGAAGGATCACAGTACCAACCCTGCAGTGCCAGAGCTGGAGCAGTGACATGGGGCAGGCAGCAAGCTCTGAGCATAGGTGTGTTCAGGACTGAGGTGACAGTAAAGGATCTCTCTTGCTGCCACAGAAGCTGCAGACCTTGGCTACATGGGGGATGTCCCACCCCAGGCTTGGAGCACATGTATTTTGAAGCACTACAGCTCCATGCCAGTGCAGATCTCTTGAGTGGATGCACTGTGCCAGCACAGTGCTCATGTCCTGGTTTAACCCATCCTGCTAATTTATGGGAGCAAAATCACTCAGATGTGATTCCTCCTTTGTGCTGCAACTGAGCATTCACACGGCAGAGGATTTACCCAGGCTTCTAGAGCCTGTTGAGTTGCTTTGAACACAAGCTGCAGGGCTGTGCTGGGATGCACACAGGGAGCTCAGGGGAGGCTGTGTCTAGACTAGAGGAACTCTCCTGAAGGCTAGCTGGGCTTTTGTTTTGTAGTAACTCATATCTCTAATCTGGCTAGCAACAAAGCATCTCAGTCCCTTCAGACACTGCCACAACACTTGCAGGAGAAAAGGAGGATCTGTTTAGTGGTCAGCAAGCCAAGATGAACAACAGGGACTGGCTGCAACTAATGCAGAGAGCACATTCCTGTGACAGAAAAGGGCTTCACTCTCATGGCAGACCTGCTGTGTTTCATCTGGTTTGATGCTTTTCACCCAAAGTTCACAAATGATGTGCAGACCTTTGTTTGAGGCCCCCTCTGAGGCCAGCAAGCAGAGGAAAAGCTGGGCACACAGAGGGAATATGTACTGGGAAGTGAGAGACTGGTCCTGGCACTGAGTTGCTGAGTTCTGGTATTTGGCATTCAGGAAGCTTTTGAAGTATCTCCCCAGTCCTGCTGAAAATGTCTCATTAAAAGAGACAAAGCATATTAATTTGGGCCCCATTCTGCGCTAATGAATTAAACAGTTCCAGACTGAAGCTGTGGCTTAGGGTCTCAGCAGAGTCATCATCCATCCCTGTGGGGGCACATGCCCTCTGTCATGGGCAGCGAGACCCACAGGAACAAGAGCATGAAATGCTCTGTGTCTGCCCTTACCTGTCTCTCCTCCAGACCTGTCTCTTTTTTGCTGTGCTGCACTGGCCATAGCTGGGAAACCTGTTCCTCTCCAGGTTCATCACTTACAGGGGAAGTACCGAGCTCCTTCTGCTCAGCACCAGCCTCTCTCCCTGCACACAGTGGTGTCCTGGGCACAATAAACCCAGAGCTTCCCAGGACAAGGCAGGATCAGGCGGAGTTGGGGAGGAGCACCCCACATCCAGGAAGAATAGCTGCCTGCCTTGGGCTGAAAATAGACCGTGAAACATTTGAAGACAGAGCTGGAGTGGATGATTGCCTGAGGCAAGGCACAGCTCCAGCTGAGTTCGTTGCTGAGCTCTGAGAGCATAAGGACATGAGGAGCATGTGGGAGGGATGCCAGGCTTTCTGGAAAGGCCTTGAAGTGTCTCACTGGAGCACAAAGCCCAGAGAAAAACTTCCTTTGAATGGATCCCCAGCGAGGGAGGTCACAGTTACACTGCTGTGCCCAGACATGGATACACAGAGCACTGGGCTGATGTTTAGGCATCCAGTGGAGCCAGGGAAGGTGTGGAATTGTGCTTCTCCCAGCAAGGCACTTGGCAGCACCCCAACTTTTTCTCTGCTTATTTCACGGCTGGATTTTTGTTGCTGGTAGCTGTTTCTGAGCTGACACTTCTACCTCCTGTGCCTGAAGTGGGATACATCAGGGGCAAGCAGAGGCAGCTCACCAGCCTCTGCTTCCCATGAGCTGGTGCTTGAGTTCAGTTCTCCCAGCTCCACAGATCCTGTATTTCCTGCTCTGGCTCTGTCAGGGATGCTGGAAGTGTCCAAGGCCAGGCTGGACGGGGATTGGAGCAACCTGGGATAGTGGAAGACGTCCCTGCCCATGGCAAGGAGTGGGCCGAGACGATCACTAAAGTCCCACCCAGCCCATAACGCTCTGTGACTGATTATCGAGGGGTTTTCCCCGCCCCGGGGGGAGAGGCCGAAGCGAGCGGGGCGGTGCCTGTGGAATCACCTCGGCAGCGGGGCGAGGCCGCCTCCTTTTCTGCCCCCGCCGGCGTGAGGTTGTGGAGCGGCTCTGGCGGGCCGGGCTCCCTCAGCTCCCCGCCATGCGGGCAAGGAGCGGCTCTGGCGCGCCGGGCTCCCTCAGCTCCCCGCCATGGGGGCAAGGAGCGGCTCTGGCGGGCCGGGCTCCCTCAGCTCCCCGCCATGCGGGCAAGGAGCGGCTCTGGCGGGCCGGGCTCCCTCGCCATGAGGGGCCGCCGCCGCCATGAGGTGAGGGGGAAACAGGGCACGGGTGACGGCGGCAGCGGGGCTGGAGACCGGGGCTCCGGGGAAGGAAGGCGCCACCTGAAATACTCACTTTTTCTTATTTAGCTGTTCCTGCCAGCCGACAAGCCCTGCAGCCCGCGGTGCCCGGGACTGGGGGTGTTGCTCGGCTGTGCTGTTCAGCATTAATTCCTCAGCCTCTCGCTCGGTGTGTTGGCTTTTGTCTCTGCCATGAGCCAGGCTGCTGCTGTTGAACTTTATGAATACAGATGGAACTAATAGATTATTTGCGATGTTTCTGCTGTCCTCTCTTTAGGCCTTCAGCCGATGGGGGGACCGCGGTGACCCGCAGCTGTCGGTGGCCGGGAGCAGCCCTGAGGTGGCCCGACCTTGTCGTGTGTGAAACCCCCAAGCTGTGCTGTGCTGGGACAGCCAAGGAGGCTCTCCAGGAGGGCACTTGAGCCTGTGGAGAGGAGATGTGAAGGAATAACCTGCCCGTGAGAGACAGGGAGCGCTCTGGAGCCACGTGGGTGAGGTGTGACAATGAGCCAGTGAGAGGAAATGGGGGAAAATGTTTGTTTTGCTGTCTTGAATTAACTAAAACGCCTCTTCTGGCTCCTGTGCTAGCCTCAGGTCCTCAGCGTGGAAATAACATTGCTGGTTTATCCGGCAATTAGGTTTAGCTTATCCCTTTTGCTGGATGAAGCCTTGATGAGAGTAGGCATCATCAGAGAAGTGCCTCCACGTTTTTTCTGCCCTGTAAACCCCCCAGTTTTGGGTTTTTTCTCCCAGCAGTAGTCAGCTGCCCGTGGCTGCTCAGTGCCTGTGGCAGTGTTATGCTGCTGGGAGAGAAAGGTGCTGCTGAGCTTTCCTGGCACCGGTGGGGCCGTCCTGGTGCTCAGTGGTGCCAGGTTTTGGCAGCACTCTGCATGCCCGAGAGTGGAGTAACTCCTGCCCGTGGAGTTAGAGCCTAGACTGGATGCAGACAACACACAGAAAATGGAAAATTCTGTTGCAGATATTTTAATGTGCACCTTTTATATAAAAATGAATGTCAGTTAATTAACTGGTCAATGCTAAGGTTTGAATAGGGGTCCTCTTTTCAGCTGTCTTTGTTGGATTTTTATTACAGGTAAATTGTTGGTGTGAGGCTTGCTGGAGCAGCAGGAGTGGTCAGAAGTAAAGCTATCAATGCTGCTTTGAAGATCCTTGTTTGAAAGGTATTGAGAAGATGGAAACCTGGAGCCCACAGTTTAAAGGGGGCAGCTGGAAAAGAATTTGTTTTCAGGATGTGGATGTAGGAATTGGAAACATCAAAGGTGATTTGGGGCAAAGTATAACAAGAATTATTTGTAGAGTTTATTGTTAATCTCCTCTCATTGCTTATTGGTAATACATTTTTATATGACCTCAATTAAACGTATTTATATTTAAACTTGCTCAGTTTGTTTTTCATTATCTTACAAGGCTGTTGGATGCAGCAGGATTTGAGAGTGGAGACAGGAGAGGCTGTAGTGAAGCACCAGCTCTCATCCCTAGGCCTGGGGGGAAGTGAGCCCACAAAGGAAGGTTGGAAAAGGCTGATGGATATGTAAAATACATCAAAAACTGGTGGGGAGGGACAGAGAGGGCTTCAGAAAAAAATGGTATTTAAATGCAAAAGTTGGAACACAAGGAGTGTTTTGCTCTGCAAAATGAGATTTAGATCCCTTTGGATTCCTTGCAGTCTTCTAGGAAACGCTGGATTTGTGAAATAATCCAGACTCCTTAAATGTCCCTGACACTGTTAGTTTAGCCATGAGCCCTTCTGCCACCTGAATATCCAGAGCTTTGAACACACTTTTTTTTGTACTGCACATGGGAATACTTGTTAAAATACTAACCATTGGGGAATAAAAGTTTTTCGTGGTTGAAGCCTGAGTTCTATTGTTTCTGTAGGAACAAATCCCACCTTCAAAACTAATCAGGGGTTTCCCTGTGGATTTATGTTGTGTCCAGCAATTTTCCTCTTTCCCAGGGCTGGGTGCCTGCTGCCTTTTGGGGGGGGGGGTGTCCTGCCTGCTGACAGCCAAGGAACACTCACTGTGTCAGGGGGCTCTCCTGCTGGACCAGGTATTCCCAAAAGTGGTAAAAAATGGGGAATACATCATCCCAAAGCTTCTCCCCAGGTGAACATTCCCAGCTGTGCCAGCCTTTCCTGCCAGCAGAGCTGCTCCATCCCTCTGCCCATCCTGGAGCCTCCTCTGGCCTGGCTCCAGCAGCTGCAGCTCCTCCCTGTGCTGGGCCAGGGCTGGGGCAGCTCTGCAGGTGGGCTCTCACCTGAGCACAGGGGCACAGGTGATGCCTCAAGTTTTAGCTTTTATATTTTTCAGATTCTATTCTGCTTTAGTGTGTAAGTTTAGGGTTCATATTAGGGGATGGTGAGGTCTCTTCACAGAGTAGAGAGACAAAATGCCCCCTTCCCCTGCTGCCCACACTGGGGCTCAGTCCAGGGCATGTGGTGGGCTTCTGGGGCATGTCCAGCTTACAGCTTTGTGCACAACTGGGAAATAAAAAATAGGGATGTCCTGAAAGGTTCTCCAGTGGTCAGCACAAGCATGAGGTCTGGAGCTTGGGGTGTCACCTCTGGCAGGAAGGGTCAGTCAGCACTGTGCAGCTCCTTCTGCAGCACGAGGCGATCGATAAAGGTCAGGATGATTCACCTTGGCCCTGCTCTGGTACCTCGAGCGCAGGACAGCAAAGGGAATTGGGAGAGAACCCATGAGGTCCAAGACTGGCAGGAAAATAAAGCCAGGAAATGGAGCAGGACCTGCATTCGTACTTCAGAATTGACAATGTGATTTATGGTTCTGTTAGGAGAACCAAACATTTTGCAATCTATATATGACTTCTGCTAGGCAAAAGTGGCTGGATTGCATGGATTTGCTCTGCTTTACTACTCTGCAGTACCACAGCACAGGAGGATTGTTAACTGAGATTTATGGGCTTGTTTTGGAGCACTTCATTGTTTTTTACCTTGAGCTTGTTAAGAGCTGGATTTCTTGTGATTGTTCTCTGAGCATTTCAATATTATTTCAGCACGTATATTGTACAACTTCCATTTTTTAAAAATACCTTGTGTTATTTCTTTGTGCTCTCCAGCCATTTACAGAGGAGGAAACTCAGCCTGTGATGAATTGAAGCAGCAGATTTTTCCTTTCCCCTGGAACTTTCCCTCAGTTCATGTACACACCCTCATCTTCCTAAAGTTGCTGGAGCACAGCAGCTTCCAGGCTAACGGAGAGACCGGTTCTTTAGCCCCAAAATTAAATAGGGAAGAAAGATGCTGACTGCGAAATAAATCCAAATTACAAATAGCACTTAAGGGGCTGTACGAGTACTTTGGTGACAACTCGCCGATTTCAGGAGGGCAGCGGCACAGGGACCTCTCCTCATCCAGCACAAGGTGGCAATGTTGGATCAGAGGAACAGCACAGCCTTGCACATCGGCTGCAGGGCCTTTTTACCAGAATCTTCTAACGGCCTCACAGCCAGCGAGAGCCCAGTTTTGAATATTTTAGCGATGGTAACACCTGCGCTGCGCTGAGGAGAGCGGCCTCGGGCTGGGCGGGGCTGCCTGCCCGTGAGCGTGCCCTGGGACACAGAGAACAGCGTGGGGATCAGAGGATACTGTGGATATCCCGGACACTCTGGATAACCCGGACATCTTGGATACCCCGGGAACACCCCGCAGCGGCGGTGCCGGCGGTACCGCTCCCCGAAACCGGCTGAGGGGAGCCGCGAACCCGCGGTCCCGGCCCCGGCGCTCCTCCCGAGGGGCGTGGCCACTGCCCCACCCCGCCCCCCGCGCCTTCCCATGTTGCCCCGCGGGAGCGCGGACAATGAGCGGAGCGCGGGCGGCGGGCTGGTGGCGCGCGGTGCAGCGGCGCTCTCGCGAGAGCACGGTGAGCGGCCCCCACCTCTCGCGAGAGCCGTACCGGCTGCGCCTCCTCCCCGTCCCCATCCCACATCCCTCACGGCGGGCGGGGCGGGCGGTCCCGGCCAGCGGCGGGAGCGGCGCGGACTCACCGGCGATACCGGAGCCGAACGGGGCGGCCGCCGCCGGGCACGTGAGCAGGCGGGCAGCGGGCGGGCGTGCTCTCGCGAGCGCGGCGAGGCGCGCGCGGGGCTCGCGCAGCCGCCCCAGTCCCTCTCTCCCTCCCTCCCTCGGTCCCGCTGTCCGTCCGTCCGTCCCCTTCCCCCGCCGTTGGCGCCGCACCGAGCGGGAGGCGCCGCCGCCGCGTTCCGTCCCTGCCGGCCCGCAGGTAGGAGCGGCGCCGCGCCCCCGGCCCGCCGCCATCTCGGGGTCCGGCGGCGGCC